TTTGGTCCCAGTTCCCTCTACTATGCTAGCGCAGGGGGAGGGGGCGGCTCAGCCTCTCCCAAAATTTCTTTAAGATACAAAAGTGGATATATTTTCAGCAAATGTTACTCAAACACATAGACATTCATAAAGAAAAAAACCATGATTAGTACTCCAACATGCATATAAGGTAAAGGGAAAACTTTGGTCTTTCATCTAAATGTAAGAGCTAAAACCAAAAAGTCTGCAAAAATAAGAGTAAATCTTTGAGAGTTTGTTTTTGCAAACTCTCTTCCATTAGGAGACAGATTCACAAAATTGATTTCATATTACTGCAGAAAGTTCTGCTTAAATGGATGTCTTATAATAGGTTTTGGAAAACAATGTTCACTAATGCAGCCTGCCATATGTTTTGTTATCGACAGTGAAAAAGAAAATTTTTGAAATGTATAATATGTGTGAATTTAATATTTGTTTCCATAACTTTGAACATGGCCATGACTGTTGGTTTGTAGATTGTTTGTAACTGCTTCCATGCTGTGACTGCAGAGTTCAGAAGTGGCATTAAGATTCTCATGTCCTGCAGAGTCTGAAATGTTGACCATTAAGCCAGTTATAGAAAAAAAGAATTGTCAACTCCTGTCTTAGACTGTTGTCTCCACTGAGATCATTGATTTCAGTCTATAGCAGAAGAAAACAAGTAGCTAATTTTTAAAAGGGATAGAAACCTACACAGAGTTGCATCATTGATACCAGATTGTTCCATGCTGATGGGCATGGATGGATCCATCCTTCGGGGTTCTCTAGACTCAAAAGAGAGCAGTCTTTTATTATATTCCAGTAAGCAGTGGGCTGAATGGGTATAAACTCAACAGATACAGCACTCCCTCAAAGCAGCTTCCCAAAGCGATGTAATAGACCAGGGAGACCAGCAATCCCTACCCAATTCCTCACTCTATTTCTCATTTGTTATTTACAGGGAAATAAGCAACCTACCCTAATTTTATCTTCTGACCCCAATATAAACCAATAAACATCTTTTTTTTTTTTTTTTTTTGGTGGTGGTAGCGGTGGTGGGGTAACCAGGAATTGAACCCAGGGGCATTTAACAACTGAGCCACATCCCCAGCCCTTTAGTTTTTTTTTTTTTTTTTGAGACTGGGTCTCACTGAATTGCATAGGATCTTGCTAAGTTGCTGGGGTTGGCCTTGAACTTTCAATCTTCGAGTCTCAGCCTCCCCCATCATTGGGATTACAGGTTTGAGCCACCACACTTGGCACCAATAAACATCTTATCCTGATTGTGTCTCTTGCTGGAAACAGTGAAATCAGGTCCAAATCCTTATATTTAATCTCCCACAACTAGAGTAAGTCCCATAATCTTCGGCTAACGTCACCAATTCAGTCTTTTCCACAGGATAACATTAGTCATAGCAACATAACAGATCTCACTGCATTTTTCCCATGCAAACACCATTCTTAACTGTATTCTTTTTAAATTTAATTAGGATATATTCTTCCACAAGTAAAAAAAGAAAAGGAAAGACAAGAAAAAGAGTAACTTGTAACATAGCATGTACAATGTCTGGATAAACGTAGAAAGCAAGTGTGGGAAAGCATGATAAAGTTGTGAAGACAAAATTTGGTCTCAGATTTTAGATGTGGGGGTTTGGGATGTGGCTCATGGGTGGAGTACTTGCCTAGCATGTATGGTGTTATTTCCAGCATGGAAAATAAAGATTCCAGATATAGGAGACTCTCAGAGAGGGACGGTAATGGCTACAGTCGATTCTGACTATGCTCATATGCTGTTCAATAAGGAATCAGGGCAGGAAGTGTTCCATCATTCTGACTGCTTATGGGAGAGGAATAAATCCTTCAAGGAGAACATAAACACCACTTGAAATTCTGCATGGTTCCCTATATAATAACTGGTACTTAACCAAAAGTTATTTGGCATCTCAAACACAAAGAGGCCACAAGAAGGAAGAAACAGTTCCCATTTTGGGGAACATTTCTCATACAATTTTATGCAGCCAGCATTAGTTTGATATCTGAGATCTGAGAAGAAAAATTTTCAGAAGAAAAATTATGGATCATAGAATAAAGTAAATAAAGTCATAAATATGTAACAGGTCAAATATAACTCTGGGTTTATACTTCATATTTGTATATTTACTGACAATAGTGTAGTCAATACACACAACCAAACCCAAGATGCAGAAAACAAATTCATAGAATTATACATTCATAACCAACATTTATTTAAAATTAAGAGGGTAAAATTCTATAATTTGAAAAAGAACATCTCCCAAAACCTAATTAAATGTCATTTTCAGCAATGGGATATTAAAACTCTGCCCATTCCTAAAGATCAGATGAAAAAAGAATGCCTGTTGCCATTAATTCTGTTTACTGTTATCCAGAAACCCTACCAAGTGCAATTAGGTAATGAAGAGAAATTAAGAATATAAAAACTGGGAAACAAGAAATAAATCAAATCAACTCAGATAAGAGTGTAATAAACACCAAAATTCCAAATGAATTTACAAGCCATTGGTTATTACTGGTAAATTTTTCAAGGTTATTAGATATAATGACATCATAATGATAACATCAAACACATTTCTATACCAGGTAGAAAGAAAAGGCAAAGTTATTTTAAAAACGCATTACATCAACAAAAAAATATTCATTTGGCAGGAAAAACCTATCAAAGTATTTATAAGCCACTGCCCTAAAAGTAAAATATGACTGAGAAAATTAAACAAAGCAAAAATACAAGGGGAACATAACCATATTCGTTCATGAATTATCCAAGATATCAGTTCTTTCCCAATTTATCTATAGGCTTACTGATATCATGATAAAACTGTCTCTTGGGAAATTGACAATCTGAATTTCCAACTCTTGTTTGGCAAGGTAAACATTTAATAATATAAAAAAAAAAATGTTAAAGAAATTGAATTTTTTGAAAGACTCACACTGTCAGATACTGACACCATTTAGAAAGCTTTATACTCCAATTGGAAATAGCACATAGTCCATTAAGCAGACAAAAGTAAGATTTTTGCACTTGTTTCATCTTGTACGTTAGAGATTTGCACTCAGTTCTGTGAATTTGGAAACATGGAGAGCACTGAGATGTAGCACAGAAGGAAAAACTTACCTTGGGAATGAGGTAGTTTCTGAATTTAACATCACAGGTCACTGAATGGGGTATACCAATGGTACTGAGATTAACGTATCTCTGGATCTCATGTAACACAGCGTTTGTGTAGGGCATGTGGCTCCTGTCCTGCATGCAGGGACTGTTGTGTTTGCCAATCACACGCTGGATTTCTTCCTGGAGTTTAGCTAGTAAAACATAAATAAGAAATGAGTGGTTGGGACAGAAAGAAAATATTTGTAAGAAATGGAGTACTATGTGGATCAAGATGAAGGTGTCCCAACAGCATTATGAATATAAATATGACCAGAGTGGAATGTATACATAGATAGCTGTGCTGATAGAGATACAAACCACTCTCTCATAAGCTGGATTTTAAAATACATTGGACCAGACTTATCAATTAGCATCCTATACAATGTGTAAAAATAGAGGTAATTAAAAAGTAATAGCAAATACATCAAGAATTTATAGTACTGGCTGAAAGAAAAATCACAAATATTAAATTTATATGAAAGTAATTTGTGATGCTTAATATAAATTACAACAGAGCAATAGATGTGTGTGTAGTTTATGGGTGTGTGAGCAATTTGCAATGGTGCTCCCATCCTACTCCCAAATCCTGACCATAGCCACTGAGCAGTTCATCAGCTTGTTCTGAAATTGATATTCACAACTCTGATTCTCTGTTTCTTATTTATCTGTTATTGGGCAAAGGTTAATAATTTCCTGGAATGGGGAGATGCAATATATATATATATATATATATATATATATATATATATATACACACACACACACACACACACACACACTTCAAGGTAAAGATACACACATAACCCCCCCCCACACACACACACAATTGCCCATACTCCCTTTAGCAGCATAAACCAGGCTACGATTTTTGCTTATATCAATATTTATTGTTTATATCATTATGGTGTTACCCACATACTGTTCTGTGGTATAAAAACTATGATTATTTTACATTGTTGGTACTTTTTTGATCTTCACCCTTTTTCTCTATACCATTTTTGGGTTAGAATTATTCAAGTTGCTCAGGTAGAGATGATTCGTGCTCCAGGAATAATCTCCCAGTTTGGAGAAACCTCAGACTATCAGTCACATCTCTTTGTTCTTGGTTTCTCCTCTCAAACCCACATCATCCACCTGGTCCATGCTGAAGGGTGCTTCCTAGGCCTGGTACCCCACAGCCTCCCTGATGCTCTCATTCTTCTCTGGGAGCCCTTCCCCATTCCTGGAACCCATGGTTTCCCCTGACATGGTTGCAGTTATTTGAATGCAGCACATTCTCTGGTAATTTTCCAAGAAAAAAAATAAAGGTATCCAAGTCTGAAATACACTTTTTCTATTAAATAACAAGATATTAGTTACTCCTGAGAACTCTGGTGTGCTATTCTGGTCCTGCACAGCAGATTTCTCTGAAATTCCCTGACCCTCTATCTTGGGTGGATGCTTTTATTTCATTCACTGTGAAGGAAACTCAGAGAGAATTTTTTTAAAATAAAATGACTGAGAATGGAGGTCTTTATCCCACAGTTCTTCCTTCTCTGGAGGGTACATCTTACTTTCTGGAAGCAGGAAGGAGAAAAAGAGTTTAGATTCTCCAGAGTCAGTGAAGGACCAAACCTTCCTTTGTCAGCATCACACACAAATCTTTCTGTGTCACTATGTAAGGTCCTTCAGCTAATGGATTTTTAGGCTCCATTTGTCTCAAAAGACTTTCTGTTTCTGAGAGAAAAAAATCAGTCACCTGATAAGGGGAGGTCTGGAAGGATCTTAGGCAGGACAGCTTCTTCTTCAACCTCACTCTCCCCCTTCATTGGCATCTGTGTTTCCCCACACAAGCTTCCATATGGGGATTGTAAGAACAGACCTTGCTTTTCTTTTTGTAAGTAAAATCTTCTAATAGTTCTATTACAAAAATCATCCCTCCTGTAGAACTAATCACCGTTCTGGCATCTATCTCTGTGTTCCAGAAATTTGGTGAGGTCTGCTGACTGCTCCTTCTTCTCCCCTCCTCCCACTTTAAAGGGCTTGCCTTTTCACTGTCAGCTGTCTTCACTTCTCTCAGTCCTCCTCTGGATTACAACTGGTGTCACGGGGGATAAACAGTGAAGCTTGCTTCTCTGAGTTAACAAACAAGCGAGGGCCAAGCAGCACCTTCCCAACATCTAAGTTCACTTGCTCATCATCTGTGTTCATACCTGTGACTTGTGGGTACTTCAGCAGGAGCAGGAGAGCATATTTCAGTGTTATGCTTGTTGTCTCTGAACTAGCAATCCACAAATCAAATGCAGTGATGACCAAGTTTTCATAAGTAAACACCAACTCTTGATTATCCTTTTCCTAGGAATGATTGGATATCCATCAAATGCTAGCAGGTTCAATTATAGTGAATATAAAATAATTCAGAATGTTTTAAAGCTGGCTAGCACAGACGCTGGAAAGAGTAGTATAACAAGAAACTAATGTTTGGTGTGGTAGAGACTAAAGTACTTGATATAAACTTCACTTCCTACACCCGGTTTTGTGTTTGCCTAACATTGCCATTCATGAGACTCTGCAGTTAGCTATGTAGCATGTGTCTTTCCCAAAATGACAGAAACAGAAGGCCGTGTATGTCTTTCCTTCTATTTTCTTCTTCTTAAAAAAAGAGAGATGAAAGTGAAGGTAGGCTCTCACCTTGGGACACCAGGGTTTTATCATAAAAGTAAAATCCTCTATCCTAGATATGGAGTAAAGAATGGAAGGCCCTTGATATCCTGAAGCTCCAATATTACTCTGACCAACCATGACTTTCCTTACATTTGAGGTAAATAAACCTCTATTTCTTGAGAAAATTATTAACTACATTTTCTTTTATTTTTATTAAGAGAAAAGGTGAAGGTGAACTACACCATGATAAATGTTATAAGCCTGATCAGAAGTTTGCAATTCTTCTCCTCTGTGAAAATTGACATTAATTGACATGGAGCCAATAGTGCCCCAAATTTCCAAAGAGTTGAAATTGTGAAATAGCAAACATTGCAGCAATTTTTAAAGTATTTTTTTAAGTTGTTGATGGGCCTTTATTTTATTTATTTGTAGGTGGTGCTGAGACTCAAATCCAGTGCCTCACACTTGCTAGGCAAGTACACTACCACTGAGCCACAACCCCAGCCCCACATTGCAGCAATTTTAAGTAGTTATTTTAAGGAAAAGGAAATGGGTTCACCAAGACAGGATGAGCCAGCACTATTGTAATCCAGAGGCGGGGCAACAGAAACTATGGTCTAAGGAATAAAACAGGAATGAATAGAAATGTATAAAATGAAAAGACATAACTCAGGAAGACAAGAAGTTGAGACTATAACTATCCAAATACGATAAACCAAAGAGTAGGGGTGATGAGATGCCACAGAGAAAGTTTATGATTGAAAACACATAAAATTGAATTGACAATGTAGGTGTTTAAATATTGCACACAGGGTATCATTAATTTAGTATTATGTTATTTGTTAATTCCAGGGCAAGCATGGTACATTCATAACCTTCACATTACCTGTGTTATGCCTGACATTTTGTAATCAACATTGTTGAACTAAGGTAATCCTTCTCAACACATGTCCCGGCTAGGGAAAGACAGTATTTGCCTTGGAAATACTAAGTTCATGTTGTTTTTTTGAACTTGTCGAATTAGTTATTTAAGTAAGTCTTAAAAGTAAAATTACTCTAAAGCACTGCATTATTAAGTCAATATTAATATTTTCATCTTCTGAAGTGAATTTGCAGATTTACTTGCAACAGGCCAATAGTCTATCATTATTAATCAGGATGATGTAATCTATATTGAAAGAAACTAAAGAAAAAATAAATGGGCACATGTTCCATGCCAGAGATTAAAATGTTAATATTGCTAAGGTGTCATTACTCTAGTGATGCCGCAAACATGGTCACAAATGGGAATTGGTACTTCTACCAAAGTAACTGTCATCCTCTTTTAATACACTTAAAGAAAGTTTTGGGGGAATGGTGGAAATGCAAAGACCTGCAGCATCAAATAAGTGCATGAAAAATTATACAAGATTTGTATCTCATAGAAGCTGACACTCTCTACACCCAGTACTGGGGCAGACAATTTGGAGAAAATGTATACGTATTATGTTGCTATGCAGCTTGCTTGCCCCTAACTGAAAATAGAAATACGTTCATTCAAAAATTGGTGCTGAATCTTTAGGTTACTGATGGTCTAGCACAGTGCCTGGCCATTGCTTCAATCCTTTTGGCTCAAGTCACTATTTCAGTGGCATTAAATAAGAAATTTAAATAAACAGATTAACTTTGTTTCTTTTGTCTTATTGGTACCAGCAACTTAAAGATTTCTCTATCAGTCTAATTTACCTTTCTCAGATACACCTGAAAAGTCATGTGGTCACACTTGACATGAAATGTAGACTTTGCAAAAATTACTTGGAAAAATCACCAAGTAAATGACTTACTGCAGCCTTCATCATGTAACAATAGTAATTTCTGGACAGGAAGAAAGGTCTTATTTCCTGAGTTAAGTGACTACAATATAGTAAAGGCCAGTAATCAACAATAAATTACACACTACAAAATGAAAAAAAATATGGCTTATTAATAATTTAAAAATGAAGCCATGCACATGTTGGACTCACTAGAAAATACTTTTATGTCAAATATCTCACATATCCTCATAGATCTTAAGAAAACCATGTACAAAGAAGTAAAAAGAGAGAGAGAATATATGTATGAAAGGCTCAGAATATCAATGAAGAGAAACTAATGATAAAAGGGAAATGATAGACATTCTGGAACTAAAAATGCAATAGGCAAAAAATTTATCAGGCATGTTCAACTGCAGATTTGAAGAAGTGGAAAAATCAGTAGGAAATATGAAGACAAGACAACATAAATTACATAGTTTGAGGAAAGAAAGAAAAGGAAACAATAATGAATAGAACCAGAGACCAGTGGAATTCCACCCACTGCAGCATATTTCAAATGATGGGAAACCCATACTGAGAAGACAGAGAAAAGAGACAGAAAACATTAAAAGACATAATGACCACCATCTTTCAAACTTAAAGAAAGTGATGCATCTATACAGGCAGGAAGCCCAATAAACTCCACAAAGGATATAAAAGCAAAGAGATTAGTTCTGAGGTATATTTATTTAAATTGTTGAAAACCAAAAACAAAGAACATTGAAGTCAGCAAGAGAAGTGAGTCATCATATCCTAATAATCTTCAATAAAAGTAAAATGTGATTTTTTTTTTCAGAAAACATGGAAGTCCAATCAACCTTGGACTAGGAAGATAAGAGCAGACTAAATGAAGACATGAAGAAACAAAAAAGAGCTGAACAATAACTGGAACTAAATACCCCTTCTCAGAAACTGTAAACAAACTTATTAGCCCAACTGACCAAGAACAAAAAAAGAGAAGACACCAATGACTAAACGCAGAAATGATAACTGGGATTTAACTACTGATTTTGCAGAAATAAAAAAGGTGAAGTGAGATTACCATAAAATACCGTGCAACAACAACTGAGAAAATCTGGATACATGGAAAAGCACCAGGAAACACAAATTACCAAAGTTGATTCAAGGTCAAGATAGAAAAAGTGACAATCGCAAGAAGTAAAGATATTGAATTCACAATCAAGAACATCTATTAAGAAAGATGTGGGACCATATGAGTATACTTGTGAATTCTATCAGTCTACTCTTTCTCATTACACACAACTATTGATATGATCCAACCTATCTGAGATTCACTCTTCTGTCCATCACTGCAAATATTTTAAGATCTATTTCAATATGAAGAACATGCAGGTAGTCCATCTAAAATAAGCTATTCATTCCCAAGCTCCCAAACACCATGTGCAGGATGAGCTCTATCTTCATGTAATGACATGATGTTTTATGTTTTGTTTTTGGTACCAGGATTGAACTTAGGGGCACTTTACCACTGAGCCACATTCCCAGTTCTATTTTGTATTTTATTTAGAGAAAGGGTCTCACTGATTGCTTAGTGCCTCATTTTTGCTGAGGCTGGCTTTGAATTCCTGATCCTCTTCCCTCAGCCTCCAGATTATAGGCATGTACCTCCGTGCGCAGCCATATTTTGTGCATTCTAACTTGGTTGGGTATTATTGTGTCTCTATAGCTATGTTCATACTTTGATTTCTGCATTTGCTATTGGTATCCTCTCTTCTTGTTATTGAGTCAGTCTAACAGATGTTCTATGGGTTAACTCTTGAAAGAATTGTGTTTGCAGTCAATTTATCCTTGGCTAAATTATTTTTATCTAAATAATATTTTCAAGAAATTCAATTTAGCCACATGGTGGTACATGCCTATAATCCTAATGACTCAGGAGGATTACAAGTTCAAAGCTAACAACTTAGGCCCTAAGCAACTTAGAGAAACTCTGTCTCAAAAACAAAACAAACAAGCAACAGCAACAAAAAACAACAACAACAAAAAACTGGGATATGGCTCAGTGGTTAAGCATCCCTGGGTAATCCCTGGTACCGAGAGAGAGAGAGAGAGAGAGAGAGAGAGAGAGAGAGAGAGAGAGGGAAATTTTATGTTTTCCATGATACCTCATGGAGATTCATGCATATCTATGAAAAAACTACTTGTTAATCATATTGTCCTGAACTTTTCAGCATCCCTGGAAAATACACAACTGTTTAAAGACCCACAACATGCTCAAGCAATGAAACAACTGAGCTGAGGTTCACACTTTACCGTCTCCATTTTTATCAGGAAATAATCAATGAAGTCTCGAGGATTGTTAACATCAAGTGATTCTTCATGTTCTTTTACTTTCTCCAAAAGATAATTTTGCATACATTTTACATTTTTAAAAAGAATGTTATGACTCCCTGGAAGACAATCGATGAGAGCCGGGAAAGTATTGTAGATCTGTAAGAGAAAACAACAACATAGTTAAAAACAATAGTGAAGGAACATGCATGCACCATGTAACAAGCCCTGGTAAGAAATAAAAATTATGTCTATTTATTTATTTATTTTGGCTTTTGCCAAGAATTGGTGCCCCATCTGCTGAGGTTGCTCCAACTTTCTACACTCAAATCCTGGGTAGCAGCTGCAGATGCTTCCTATCTTAAGATTCCAGAGTCTAGTAGTGGTGGTGGAAGGCAGAGTAGAGCAGCAGAGTTGGGTCTCATCGTCCAAAGCTAGTTTGGCACCTGGCATATTCCACCCAACCACCACCCACCACCTTGTTCACACTCTAGGTTCTCTGCCCTCCTCTGTGGGGTTGGAGGCCAGAAGACCATGAAAACATATCTTTGTTCCTCTTCCATGTTCCTTGGTCAGGAAACTGCTACCAAACCAGAGAGATGCCACCTTCCCAGAGCCAATGCTGTTGTCATTTTTAATTGGTTGATTTTATTAGATAAAAGTATACTTTATCCATGAAAAAAAAGCATCATGGAAAGCTCAGAAATTCTTGGGATTCTGGGAAGGGAAATTTCCCACTTCTTCCTCCCACCTCCCTGGCATCACTGTGGAGGAAGAAACAAGAAGTTTATCTGATCTAGAAGGAAAGAAGGGCAGGCAGTGTCTCTCTCCTCTGGGGCTGCCTGGCCTCCAGATGGTCAGTTCTCACCTACCTTCGGGTTCCTTGCCCAAGTCCCCTGTGGAATGCAGGCATGGTACTGTGGCAGGCACTAAAGGGCATGTCAGCTGGTGAAGACAGGTGGTGGTGGCAGCAACAGAGGGAAGAAAGTGAGGAAGAGGGAAAAGAGTGGAGAGGGAAGAAAGGAAAGGGGGGCAAGAAGGAAGAAAGCCAAAGAGGTGGGGCAGCACCAAAGGTAGAGTAGGGGATTGGGAGATGGTATACACTCACTAGGTTTCCATCAACTCTTGTCTCGGAGTGTGTCTCTGTGCCCTTCAATTTCTTTATACTTTCTCAGTATTCCCATTAGAACAACCCTAGCCCCCACAGTAGGATCTTACTGTCATCCCGGTCATTCAAACAGAAGGCAGAGAAGGACCATTACTGAATGAGGGCTTGGTACTCCAGAGCATGGTAGAGGGACACGTGGGGAGAGGTGGCCCACTGGGCCCCTGTCAAGAACTGTTTGTACCTGGTGTACTGAGTGAAGGAGGTTTGGAAAGAGCTAAGATAGTGCCTGGGAAAACGGGTCTTGATGCTTGGTATGCAGCTCAAGGTGCTCAGGTGATGAGGATGAACTATACTGCTTCGAGGACCAACTGGTCTATTCCTTCCAGCTACTGGAGGTCACTGGTCTCGCCCACATCCAGCATAGGCAGTAGAAATGGGGTTCCCCTCAATGAAATGGGCTGGCTGAGAAATAAAAGCTAAGAAAAATAGAACAACGAAAAAAACCCCACAGAACACAGAAAGTAGTTTCAAAAGTACGGGCAGGATGGGCAAGTTGATCAGATGGATTGAGCTTATAGACCATGGCAAAATGAAGTCCGCGCCAGCTTTACTTATATTGAGAAACATTAAAGGCCTTCCATAGAACGTTCTTTACCAATAAAGGTTAAAGGTGGGCTGTTCCATTTCTAATATGTTACAACCATCTCTGGAGCTCCTATGGGGGAACTTTCCTAGCAGAGCAGAGATAAAAGTGATAAAGGTCACATGCATTGGGCAATCTAGTTCCATAGGAGAGCCATGGATAGTTCCCAAATCTAAATCTCCCTGGCTTCATGCTGAGAGAAGATCCTCAAGTATTTCACAGATGGCTTTCCACATATTCCCCCTTCTTATTTTGCAAATGTAAATGATGAGCTTTATTTCAAGTTCCTGGGTTCTTGTACTGAGGGTGCAACAACCTATTATCACAATAGAAAAGAGAATTAGTAGCAAACATATCATTCCAATAATATACCATGTAGAATGGTTTAACATGTTTCCAAGATGGGAGCCATTTAATTTATAAAGTATTTGATCAGCTAGAGATGCAGGGCCCATGAGATTGATCATGTTTTTTTAAGTATACTGGGTGCTCTGATGTATAACCATGAGGTTTTAAGCTATTATTATTGTTATGCCAAACATCCATCAGATAATTTATAATTTTTTTCCAAATTTCATTGGGAAATATGAAATTTTGACTGTAGTAATACAGGCCTACTTATATTTAGCATGACACTTAAGCACTAGTTTGAATTTGAGAGTAGAAAGCTTATTATTGATATCTATAATAGCTTTTAGAACAATCAATTTAGTTGTAAATTCTTATTAATACTTACCTGATTGCATAGGACTTTAGAAATATTTTGAGCCAACTTATTAAGAAAATGAACTTAGTTAGATAACATTTTTTACAATTTACAGGATATCTATTATCCGTTTTTTATTTCTATATATCCAATAATTAAAACATAAGAGGATTAAATATAGGCTCATAGGCCACAGCAGGAACCCTCTTTTTGGTTCCTGCCTATAAAGTTAGATATGGGGCCATTTGTAAGATGGAGAAAATGAGGCAGTAATTAAAAGCCAGAGATCTTTTCAAATATCATCTTCCCTGAAGGTTAGAATATTATCAATGAAATTTTCAGGGGTCATAAATCGTGAGAGAATGAATTATGTCCATAAATATAGTGAATATGAAGACAGATATAAGCCTGAAAGAATACACTAAGATATATAGGACCCAAATTTTCATCAAATAAGAAATGACTATTATAAATCCAAATGCGAATTATTGATCTTTCTAGTGTAACATCAATTGGTTTGCCAGGCTTTAATTTGGCCTTGAATATATGGCTGTAAATAATACCCAAACAATAGGGAATAATCTAAATCATACAGATTTTTAAAGAATCAAAATAATAGTATATCTAACCTTATTTTTATATTTTGAAAATTGTTTTAGATAACTCAATTATAATTCTAACTTCTTAGATATTTTACCAAATGAAATATGGTTGTTTGCAAATTTAAGAAGTAGAAGTGAAACACATTTAATGGCAGTATTTCCATGTTAAGCCTTCTTGGCTTTAGACTTTTTATAGGAAGTGGCATCTTGATGATTGCCTTTTATCAATTTTTGAAGGTTAACTCAAAACCTATTTATCACTATTAGAGATTTTATGTTGCACTGGCAAAGCATTTGTATATCATATTAGTTTAGGAAAGATGCCAAATTCTGTTTTCGAATGATTGAGGCAGTAAAATATTGGTGGATATTCTGTGGAAATAACTGGTTTGTTATGAGAAAATTTGATTTCAACAATCATTCTGTTCTTTTTTAGTTGTAGGTGGATACAATGCCTTTATTTTTATTTATTTATTATTATGTGGTGCTGAGGATCAAACCCAGTGCCTCATCCACATTAGGCAAGTACTCTACCACTAAGCCACAACCTCAGCCCAACAATCATTCTATTTTAACAACTGTCCAGACATATAAATACAATATTAAGTTCTAAGGACCAGTATGAATGGTTGGTCTAGGTCCCTCCTATGTTGTTCTTTCCTCAAAAGTTACCATTAAATAGCCAATATGTTCATTATGGGACCAACATATAGTTAGATTCCTACTGTAGCCAGTATGGTTAAATCTAGTCACATGGATGGGTGTAATATGAGTATATATATATATATATATATATATATATATATATGACCACCCATCTATGAGTATCATTAATAAATACTGGGATGGATTATCCTGTCCACATTGTAAGGTACATTAGAGGTGGACTTGAGGAATAGGTCTATAGAAGTCTCTATAGATTTCACTTTTGCGATAGCTCACAAGGTCTACATAGCTATAAACACTGTGGTTGAAGATTTACCTTCTTGTATCAGGTTTTTCAGCCATTTCCAAGATGGCCAGTTTAGAGTCTACCCTTTGAAATCTGAATTATCCCATTGTTCCATGTGTTGCTCAGCAGTAGTAAGACTTTTAGTATCAAAATTTAAAGTAATTTTTAAAATAACTTTGTGAAATTTAGCAGAGACATGTAGGGTTCTGTTTTTCCCCCTTTTAAATTTAAAATTGAAGAAAAAAATGGATATAAGAGTATCATTAGTCTTAATTGTAGATAGTGACCTAGTATAGTCCTATGAATCATCCTAACTTTAAATGAACATGGATGGGTATCTGAACTTGGAATGATGTGAGAGGCAGAGTTTTAACTTATGAGAGGTGGCTTCTATAAAGGTATAAAAGATATAAATAGACATCTTCTTGGAATGAAAAATACATATGTTTAGTGAGCATAGGAAATTTTTTTTATTTATTACTAATAACGAAAAATGAAATAGAAGAATGAATAGACTTTTACTTACCAATTTAGGAAAAATTTGTTATCATAAAATCTAATGTTGATCTAAGTATGAGGAATCAGTACTTTAAATATTGATGAGTAAAAGTGAAACAGTAGTATTGTTTAAGACAGCGATTTAATAAATTATTTAGTAAAATTTAGAAGCTAATATGGCAATGATATCTCAAGGGACTTATGCTAAAACAATATTTATGTATAAAGATATAGCTGTATGAATATTTTTAATAATTTTGATTTTAAGGTAGTAAGATTAACTCAAGTGTTTAACATAAGATTTTGGAAAAAGGAACTATATGATAAAAAATTTGACATTAAACTCACATTGTTAAAGAGCATTAACTATGTATAATTTAAAATGATTTTATAAGTTTTGAAAATATTAAAATGATCCTATATTTATATAAAATATGTATATCTATATGTATAGAGAAGAGTTTAGAAGGCTAAGTACTAAATATTAACCGTAGTTCTCTACGGACAGTAGAATTTTGTGAGATTTTTATATGTACCCTCTTAATTTTTGTAACAATGGGTCTCTTGGCAAAAGTTAGGTAAGGTGTTTTAATCTTGAAATTAATCTCAGTTTTTCATATAAATTTCAGTCTATAAACTTTGGTATATAA